GAGAAGGCTCATCTACAAGACAGCCAATATATAACACACCATTCAAATTAAAAAGAACCCAAACACATGAAACTAATTAGCTCCAAACAGAGAGCAAACCTGAAGCAAATACAGAAGCTGATGAACTTCTCAAGTTAACTGCCAGTGAAAATGGATGCTAAGGCAATGTCTCTAAAAAGGCTTTTCTACAACCTAGGCCAACTTTCCCAACATGGTGACCTCCAGATGCTTTGGACTACAGCTCCCAGAATCCATGCCCAACAGCTAGGCTGGCAGGACTGATAGGAGCTGAGGTCCAAATGAGAACAGGATGGGAACGATTTAGCCATTGCCATTAAAAGATGCACCATACATCATAATCACCAGCCTGACCTCCAAATATGAGGTCCAAGGAGAAGGACCTCAAGATGACAATCTTGGTGAAAGAGCAGACTGACATGATAGAAAGCTGTTTTGGAAATCCCCTCACCTAGACCTTTAATGGCATTTATTGTGCTCAGAAACAAATGGGAAACCAGGAAAACTTCCAAGCACTAAGGTCATATGTTCAAAACAGCAAGTCCTTGTTACCTCAGTGGGTGCCTCATTTACAACCTGTAGAATATTCTAGTCACTTTACAACAGAAATTCCAGAGCACATACTGCAGTGATCTAATCTGATTGCCAGTTGCTAAGGCATGGATTACTGTGCCAAGTTCATTTCTCTCTGCAAGTAGACACAGCTGGCCCATGAATGGAAGTTCTATGTAGGCACCCATCTGTGGCCCGATCCTTAAAGGGGAATGTAAGCCCAGTATTTCTTCCATCTTGTGTCATTTGAGCTTCAAACTTATTAGTCCTTAACAAATTTTCTAATCTTATATCATTGACACTTGTTTATGACACTTAGTCATCCATTAGTTTTAGAAAATTATCACTTATTCTTCTCTCATTAAAGCAGGAGAGGCAGCACCTTGTGTAAAATTACACACCCACTACTGAGAGACAGGCAAATCAAAATTAATCTGTGATAGCAGCAAAGGTCAACTGGTATGCCCCTTACCAATTGCATAGACATGGGGTGCCAGCGTTCCAAGAGATTTTCCTTGGTAATTTTTAATTGTTGCTGATGAGTAGAGTTTAGGTATATCAAAGTAAGGGTTCACAGCTATCAGGATGTTGGCTACATATGTCTGCAAAGGAAGAAAACCAGTAACAAATTTACAATATCACATTGATTTGAAATTCCTACTGACTAGTTCTAAAGACCTACAAGGCAACAGATTTGAGAGTGCATTGCAAGCTCAGGCTCCAAAAATGCAAGAATTACATGTCTCCTTGAAGTCAGAACTTTTGAACACAGGCCTTCCGTTTGCTATTTATCTGATTTCTATTCAGCCTTTTTTCTTACAACAGACTCGAAGCAGCTTACATAACGCTTCTCCTGCTCTTAATCTTATCCCTGTAACACCTCTGTGGGGTAGGTTGGGCTGAGAGTCCGTGACTGGCCCAAAATTGTATACAGTATTATTTTAACCACTATATTTTATTTGTTATTTTAAATTACAGCATATTTATTTATTTATTCTAGTTTTCTGTCACTTTTTTTTCTTTCCAATTAACTCAGAGCAGCTTACACAATTCTCTTCCTTTCACATCTTTTCCTCAGAAAGGCACCTGTGAGGTAAGTTGAGATGAGAGTCAGTGACTGGCTCAAAGACACTCAGCCGGCTCTATGGCTGAGCAGGAACTAGAAACCCAGATTGCTTGAGTCCCGCACTCTGAAATAGAGCCAGTGTGGCGTAGTGGTTCAGTTTCAAAAAAATATTTAGCAACCTTGTGCATTTTTAGAGCTGAATTTGTTAACAGCATGAAATCTGCAATTTAAATCAATTTCCAAAATTATGCAAACATACTCTAAGCAGCTTCAAAAGCAAAGCCCATACCATGGCCAGTACAGACAAGCATGTGCAACACAGTTCAGGAATGGGGAGTATGGTGTGGAGGGGAGAGAAAGGTTTTAGCCTAATTGTATATGGGTTTTTTAAAAAAAACCTCCTTGTAAAAGTTTCTTCCTTCTATAGCACAGCTGTCATTTGCCAGAGCAGATGGCAAGGACTCTATGTAATTTGGTCAGAATTCATTACATGCAATCAGGCCATCTGATAGCTACATAAAAGATTAAGGCAGTCATTTGAGCTAGCAGGTATCAGAGGTGGCTTGTGCTTGCTTTGTCTTAAAAATAAATAAAGAATAATCGGTTTTTGCTCATGCCACCCCTTATTGCCAAAGCAGTTTGCCTGCAAGCATCAGCATGCGTTATGCATTACACACATATGCAACTGGTGATATTACACTCAGAGAGTGTGCTTGAGGACCTATGTCCAGCCCAACAGAATGCCCCACGCCAAGCCTAGCCCTCCAGCTCACCCTACTTCCTAACACACTGATCAGCAAATGGGGAGGAAGAATACTTATTCACACACAGAGAGAGGAGAGAGAGGGAGAATCCATCTACAGTGTTGTGACAAACCCCTATAGTATATGAGGTAGCACAGTACTTACATAAATTCTGTCCTTACTGTATCGAACTTTTATGTTGTGTAAAAGTGTGGCTTCATTTAAATACATCAGTGAACCTACAATGGAAGCAGAGCAGTGGTTTGCATTATTGCATTATATTTATCTCTTACCTTTCTTCTTCTTGCAAAGGATCCAGCATAAATGCCATGTATATTCTTCCCAGTTTTAGTACCCAAGTTTTTTCTACATTCTCAAACCTAAATTAAGATTGCTACTGCAATACCACATGGGTGAAATTACCAATCTGGATTCACAGCGTAATCCTCAGATACCTAAACAAGGACCCTCCCTGCACATATCAGTCCTATGCATGCCACCACGATAGGGCTATCCAACACTAGCCATTCGCCTCAGGAACAGAATCCCTGGCTGGGCCAACAAAGCTTTGGTGGGCTGCAGCAGGAAGAGTGCAAAAAGAAACCTGCTCATGCAACTGAAATTAATCCAGGATGCTTACAAGAGAAGCTGAACATCCACACTGGTCCCTTTAGGGACAAAGCAAATGCAAGGTTCCATTTGAAACATACTGCACAAAGACGCATGTGACTTTCTGAATGGATGCAGTACTAGTAGTAGCCAAGTTTCAGGTCACCTCAGGGAAGCAACAGGAAGTGGCTAATTAGTCCTTTTAACCACCCAATATAACGCAGTTCATTAACTCAGTGCACACTGGTAAGTTCTGGAATGAAGAGCATTCTATCAACAGCTTATTTTGTCTACTTTGGAAGAATCAGAGATTTGATAAACAAAATAATTGTGGGTTTTTACCAACAGATTTAAAGTATTTCACTTACAGTTATCCTCCACATCCTTCTTGCTGTCTTCCTCTGCAGGAAATACTTGGTTGATTGCTGCAAGAAAGGTCTGTTACGGAAAAGAAAGAATGAAGGGTTTATCTACATGTTGAAGACATGTACTAGAAGTTTAACAGGGAAAATCTTTTTTTTCTTTTAATTGAAGAGGTCGTCATACAGGGTTACTTGGTCAGTTTTCCTTACAGGATTAATGCACCCACATACATGTTTCTTGCATGCTGGACACCATTTTCAAGAAGTCCAAGAAAGAAAAATAATTAGAACTCCTCTGCAATTATACTACTATGTCCATATTTAATCAGAAAATGTTACTCTATTAATGTTTATTCAGAATAAAGGCAACAAAAAGGAGAACATATATAATGGAACAAAATCACTAACAAAAACATTCACTCATTACTACAAATGTATCAAATCTTACTACAACTGTATTTAGCATCATCATAATCATTAGGAATGGCTCCACTCTCAGAAGTCAGGCCAATCAATTCAAAAGAAGCTAAATTCAAATATAGTCCAAGTCATTAGAATGGACATATGTTACCTGTTCCCAAAATTGTCACCCAAATAATCACATGAGTCTCTAACTGGGCAGGTGTTTGCAGCAGCTGCTTTTGCAATCTTTATCAAAAGCAAACAATATCCCAAGTGTCCCAATGCCAATGGGGATGTGTATCCACTCTGGAGTTTAGTTGGAACTTAAGGAGCTGTCCGTGGTTCTGACCTCACTCCTTGGCACTGGGGCCAGCGACCTCCACCACAGTGATGGCCACTGTGTGAGAAACTGAGTCCTGGCGCCCGTAGCAAAAGGGCATCGTGAAGCTGTGAGGGAGGCACTGGGGCTGCTGGCTAGCGAACAGTGTTCAGCTTCACCTGTTCTGTCAGAGTGGATCAAGAGACACTGTCAAACAAGGGCCTGGGCAGGCCACAACACAGCCCACTAGCACGAGTCCGCTGTGGTTCCTTCTTTTCTGCATTGCGACCAGCTTGTTCACCTGCTCCTGACCATGATCCACCCCCAGTGGGGGGAAAGAGTGGCAAGACCCCAAAGCAGTGGCCGCTTTTGGAGTTCCCTTCCTCAATTGCTGCAGGAAGGTGTGTACTATCAGAAGACTAATGTTGAGAGTTTGGTATGGGTACCATATATGCCCCAAGGTTGGAGGGGGGCACTTTAAACCAGTGTTTTCCACCTGTCATTCATACACCTGTTTTTGGAGATCCTTGGACAAAATGCTCAAAGTATGTATGTGTATATAATGTACATACCCAAACTAATTATGCCAACGTTCCTATTAATGCTTTGGCTTATGCTTAGCTAATCTTGGGGGTGGTGCAAATACTTACATCCAGAAGAAATTGATTCCTCATCTTACAATCACTTTATGGAAATCCTTTGCATCCTCTCAGTCTTGAGGGAGGTCTCTTCCATTGTTGTTGTTACATTGCAATTACATCCTGCCTTTTTTCCTCTTGTGAGGAACCGAAGGCAGCATGTGAATCCTCACAACAAGCGCCCTGTGAAGTACGTTGGGCTGAGAGCAAGTGCCTGGCCCAAAGTCACCCAGTACATATCATGGCTGTCCTCAGTCCAGTACTCCAACCACCACAGGGGCCTTCTCCTGAATTCTGTATTTCGTGATTCATTTAGCTATGTGTCCAAGCACTGAATTATCCCAATAGTTGTATCTGACACTTTATCATTTGTAGTACTGATTTACAGAGGGGCAGTCTGGAGTAACAGAGCCACTTCAAGGGATGACATGGGAAGGAGAGGGTTCCTCACCCCCACCACTGCATATGGCTAAATGTGAATCCAGCCCATTGATGAAAGGTGAAATTTAAAATCTGTGCTCATTGTGCAATTATCTTACCACTTCAGACTGAGTGTTGGCCTGATTTCAGTTTGGCATTTAAAGATTTAAGAATCTTTAAAGTCAAAATTAACTTCTAATAGCAGTGTATAAAAAGATTCTCATGGGGATCCTTTGGACTCAGTTTGTTCTTATGCTAGATTTTCAAAACAGATCTGACTCTTGGATTTCCAATGTTTTGCTACTTTCTCTCACAGATTTTTGTCCACAATAGCCCAGCTCACGTGAGTGGCAAGCAGTCCACATACTGAAGCAACTTGCCAGTCATATGCCAAGGGATTTGCATGATCACTCTCCATCACATTGCTTGTGTCAAGCAAACCTGGCCAGGATGGTTTGTCACCATGGGTAACAAGTCATCTACACACATACAGCAGCCCACAAATTCTGCATGGTTTGGAAGCCACAGCAACAAGTACTACCAAGGCTAATTATGCAAAACACCTAGCATGTGACTGGCAAACACACAGCATAGTGAACAAGCCATTCTGGTTTATTAACAGCCTGCTGATGAGAACCCAGACAATATAAACACTGAGCATTTGGAATAGCTTATTAAAGGGTATTACTCATCCAAATCAATTCACTCAAATAACATGCAACTATTTTGTATAATAAAAAGGTAATCAACTGGGGATTGCTAAGCTAGACTCTCATCTGTTTTATCACCCTATTAGAAGCAAGGTGTTGAACAATTCTTCACACTCTATTTAGTTGTTCTGATATTTCAACCATCAGGGTTTGAAAAAGCAAGGGGCTATTTTGGAAGTACGCCCATTTTAACTGAAGTAATTCTTCCTATCCAAGAGATACCTAGGTCTTTCCATACTATAAAATCTTTCAAATTTTATTTTTAAAAAGTGAATTACAGTAAAGATAGATTATGTGATCAATATTAGGAGAATATATCCAAATGTTCAACTGACATTGACTGACAATGGCAGTCTAACATTTGTCTATTAGGTGTATCTTATTCATCCAAATAAATGCTGGTACAATTAGTTAATTTTGCATCCCCAAACTTCCCCTATCATTTGGATCTTGTGCTTCAGCTTCTGAGAAGAGTCCATTGGGTCAGTTTGAGCTACCATCTGCCACATGCATGCAAAAGATGCTCTAGACAGTTGGTGACCATAAGCAACGCATCAGGGAGGGTGCAGGAGACAGAGGAGAGGCAAAGATGTTAAAGTCTCACTATATAAGTACAAGTCTGGTAACCCAATGCTGGGTGTCATCCATTGATTTCAATAGGCTTGCTGTACATTCTTCATTAGTAACTTAAGTTTCATTGCTTTCAGTAGGTTTATGCTACATATGACCAAATAAATTAAGCCAAATGTTATTTCACAATTGCCTTTGTTCCTGATTTTTACACCATTTATATTCTGACTAGTTCAAATAGCTATACAAAGGGTCAGCACACAATTTTGCTACTTTTGTCAATCTCCAATAGTTAAGGGCACAATAAGAATGCAGACCACAGAATCCAGGAATGCATGGGAAGGACAACCAGAGAGAAACGCCAAACTATGACCCTGGATCCAAAGCTCTGTATTTCCCATTCTTCCTATGGAATCACTGCAAGTACCGAGCATTCAGCTTCTCAGGGAGAAGACAGTAAGTAGTTTCTGTGCATGCAGTTCCCTGCAAACATGGTGAAATCACCAAAATGACGCCACATTCTGGAAAGTGAGAGCAGCACAATGCAAGCATTTTGATAGCACCACCATATGTCTGAGATTAAAAACCTTAATGAGGATCTGTTTTATCCAGAAAAAAAGCAGACTGGGAGGAGGCCAAATAATTATCTGGACAGCCAATCCAGATCCTTTGGTCTACTTTCCCACACCAACCCTAGATTAGATGACTATTGATTTTAGGTTGAACTTGGAATACGTCTACATGCCATATGCCCAACTCAGTGAAATACAGCTGCTTTGCTTTTAAAAATAAAACTGACCAAATGGGTTTATATCAGAGGACACCATGTTATCCATTACAAAAATGATATACAGACAAATCTACTCTGGAAACTCTTGGGTTTTTTCATCTGTTAGGTCCATCTATATATATCCAACTTTCCTCTAAAGTCACATCCATGATGCCTCTTCTCTCCTTGTTGTTGTGAGGCAGAGGTTCAATGTAATATCCAGTCTTAGGACACGCAATGCGAAGTAGCTGCACTTCAGTGGCATTACAATGGAGAGGACATAAGCCCAACTCTACTTTTCAGTCTGTCCAAGTTCAGGGCACCTCAGGGACAGCCCTTTGCCCAAGTCTTATCACAGAACTGCAGCTTCCTTTTAAGGAAAAACCTTATGCCAGTCCATTTTAAAGAGCTAATCTGTTACCACTTAGTTTTCATGAACGAAAAGGGCACTTGGATTTAACATAAAAGGTAATCATATTATTGCTAATGTTACTTTGTACTGTATCTCCCATCAGTCCCTGCTGGTATGACCAATGTTCAAGTAGCACGGGGAAAGATTCTCTCTGAAGGACAGTAGACTGCCTCCCCCAGGACATCGCCTTCTTGCATTCAAAGAATTGCATTTGAATGAATCCTTACAGTCACAGGGCAAGGTGTTGTTGCTCTTTGCCATCAAGGCATCTCCAACTAATGGCCACCCTATGAATGGAAGTTCTCCAAAATGTCCTATCTGTGACAGACCTGCTCATCTGGTATAAATTCAAATTTGTGGCTTCCTGAAGATCATTAAGGTAGGGGCAACCATTTCTTTTTCTATACAATTGACCTATAAAGGAAATGCAAACAACGGCATGTCCCTCTCCTCCCTATACAAAGATATGTAAAGACCTATGAAAGACCAACAGAAGAACATACTATCTGACCAGGATAAAGTAAAGAATGGAAGCAATATACAGAACAACTTCATGGAAAAGTATGATAACTCCTTCAAAGAGGAATCCTATGATTCAAAGACAACCTACAATATCAGAAAGTGAAGTGAAAGCTACTTACAATGGCCAAGTCATCAATTCAAAGGGAGGTGGTAGCCAAGAAATTGGAAGATGACAGACTTGGTATGATAGCAATGAAGGAACTAGAAGAGATCAACCACACTATTCTATTCCAAATCACTATGTCTAGGCATGAAATCTGGACAATGAAGAAGTGAAGGGGAAGAAAAATGACATGTTTTAAGACAGTACCGGAGGTGTTTTGCAAATACCCTGGGCTGGCAGAAAGCCAAACAAGTGAGATCAAGCAAGACCTTCCCTGGAAACAAGTATGACAAAACTGACACTGTTGTACTTCAGGCACACCATGAGAAGGGACAATTCTCTGGATAAGCAGCAGGCTAGGGAAAGTTGAATGCAGAAGAGGAATATAAGATGGATCCATTCCATAAAGGAAGCCAGAGCCCTGAGTTTGCCAGAACTGAGCAGGGCTGTCAAGGAGGGGACATGCTGGAGGACATTCATGTTCATAGGTTGGCCCCTAAGTGGAAGATGATGTAGTGCCACAGAACAACAACTCATTGAGTCTGAATGTTTTTTTCAGGCAGGCAGAGAGCAAAAACATCTGTTACCTTACAGAAATGACTTGCTGATAGATAGCTTCCCTTATACAAACTCCACCAACCTGTCCCATAACAGAGATAAGTGTTTTCGCTCATTTTTGGCTGTCCCAAAAGAATTAAATCTTTGTTCCACTAATGGTGAATGCCGACAGGCATTGAAAGGGCATGAAGAAGTAGGCAGAGGCATAAGCACCCAGTTAGAGTCTGCCAACTGATTATTTCAATCAGGAAGGGGAAAAGTTCAATTTAAATTACTGATTTGCATCAAGTTTATCATCAAACTTTTTCATACATTCCCAGGACAGTTTTATCCACCTTGCTAAATGCGTCTTCTGTCTAAATTAACTCTTCTGCCTTAGTTAGCCAGCTTCCACCACCACATAAATACAAAAATCCTATCCAGTCTGTCTTCACTTAGTGTCAGAAACAGAAACTGCACACCTAGAACTTTCCAGAATTCACAGCTCGGAATTAGCTTGGCCGGAGCCATTTTTATGGGATGAAAAAATGAGTGCCTATCCTTGGGAGGTGATTCAATGTGTGAGGGAGATTAATTCATCTTATGGGTCTGTATACATAGGATTAGCTTGTTTACTTACATATACTGAGAAATAAAATACTAAATTTCACCTATCTTAAAAGGTTTTTTTTAATCCAATTTATTAGATGTTAAACGCTGAACTGTAATTACAGTTATTCATCCACCCAGATTTGGACAGGGGTAAGTAACTTGGGGCTTCTCCAGTGCTTTGGAATACAACTCCCATGTGCCATAGCCATCTTGGGCAGTGGGGTCCAGGACTGTGGGAATTATAGTCCAAATCATGTGGATGGCACCAGGTTGCTTATACCTGAGTTAGAGGATTCAACCAATATTTGACTGCAGATGTTTTGAACAATAAAAGAGTTCATAATATTTTGTTTCTGGCTGTTGCTATTTCTGCTCACCAGCTGAGTAGAAATATACCAAATATACAAATGTATACTGTAAGCCAAATATACATTTATACTGTGTTGGAAAAGTCTGTCAGCACTCTTCCAAGATGGGTGTAGGTTTTATAAAAACATATCAGTACAAAAGGAAACTACCTCTGAGAATGCCGAGATAAAGCAATGTTAAATTACTGCACAGTTAAGACAGTCCCAGCATACCAAGACCCTCTTCTCTATTGCATCCTTAGTTTTCTGTATGCCATCAACAATTTGTCAAATGCTGTCTCGCCATACCATCTCCTGGAAGCCTAAATTTACCCAGAAAGAAGCTAAATGCGTTTACCACACTCTGAGTTCTCTCTTCCTCGCAGAAGGGAAAGGGAAGCATCATTAGACCTGGTTTTACACTATTCCTGGGGGAAAAAATCCTGTAACTTCACCAGACCAGACTTCTTCCTTATATACCATGCTCCCCCAAAATAGGGAAGCCTGCAACTAAACCTCTTGACCTACGAACTAGTAATTTCCTCTGTTCCTATAGGTAAAGAAATCTTTGCATTAGTTCAGAACAATGCTTTTACTTTAGGCTCTTCCACACACATTCCAAAATGCATGAAGATAAGGAAAAAATAACAGAGGGTTTGAGGCAGGAAGAGAGGAATTCCTCTTCCCTTTTGTTATGGGATGCAGCTAAAAAAGCTAAAACCCACAAAGCTAAAAAGTAGCATTCCAAAACTTGAACAAGATTTGCCAAACCTGTTGCCAAGCATAAGACTGCAATGGTTTACTGCTTCCAACTAGCTGTTGGCCAAACTACACACACACAATGTCTGCTGAAAATGGCATTTTGCTCCCACCACACTGGCCAGCACAAATGATGCAGAGTGGAAAACAAAGCTGTGGCATCATGATATGAAGACAGTTGTCCTAGGCATTGTGGCAGCAGCAACCACAAATTTATAGTCTGATCTGGCCTCAGTTCTTCTCAAAACTAAACCTCTCCTGCTCCCAGAAGCACACTCAGCATAAATGGGTATAAAAATGAGAGATTTTCTGGGTATTTTTGCAGGAGCAATATGCCAGACAAATAACAATTTCACAGCACAATAGCCCTTATGATTCACATTCAATGTACTGTGACAGACTTGAAATCCTGTTTAATAGATCCATCTTCATTTTCCAACACTGAATGTTATAATATGAACATAAATGACAACCATGTAAAATGCATCATCCTTTTGGTTTCCTGTGGCCATACTGCATCTGAAAGATAATTAGACGCATATAAATACTGCTAAAACATTTCCAAATGAGCCTCTTTACACACATTGTTCACAATCCAACACACTATGAAGCATTAATGTTGCTTCAATATGCTGGATTATGTCCACTGTTGTTCATAGCATAGAGATACTTCTCAAGTTTCTTTAAAAAGTCACCGCAGTGACTTCATTACATGTAATTTGAAGTTAGTCGGCAATGGGTTGGATTCCCTGTGAATTTGTGACCTCATGGTAGTGTATTTTGAAAATATTAGTGCTACAAGAGTGCTATCCTGGAAAACTCACGTTCTGGTTCACTTGGGAAGCTTCACTGGATATAGATCTTTAGATCATCACCCACTGTGAGCACAAGATGATGAAAGAGCTTGAGGAGTAAGCAGCAGTCCACATTTGTTTGCCTCACTTGAGTACAGAACACCTGAACAGAGCTAGTGTTGTTCCTGAGAAACTGGGAATTGCCTGAAACAAATCCAGTTCCCCACATCCAAGGGATAAATGAAAAAGGAAAAATAGCAGCTGTTATATATACTGTGGCACTAAATTTTGGTTTGAAAGGTCACAAGAAAGTACTGTTTGGTCCTGAGAGGTTGTTTCCTTCCAACAGCAGCCCACAGGAAAGCACGGAAAACCACATTTGCAACCAACTGGAGTTTCAGAAGCAGTCTGCAATGTGTCATGCCATCTACTGACTCAAGTTAAGTGTGGCAATGAATATTCACAACACTTTGCTTAGGCTGAAGTGCCTTCCTGGACCACAGCCACAGTTCAGAGCACATTGTGCGTGCCTACCCAAGTAAATAAGGCCCATTTGGAGTTCGGGAAGACTTAATGAAAGTTCCAACCATAGGGATCAAGTCAAAAGCTCCATATAATGTTCTGGACTCCTCAACCAATGGGATGTTTTGAGATGCAGGGACTTCTAGCACTACAGTGCAGCAATCCTGCCCTTCCTCCTTTCATACATTGTTTCCAGTAAGAAAAAAGATGGAAGCAGCAAGGGGAAACATGGGAGGGTTACAAGTGGGCATTGTCACTGTATGGATATTCCATGAAATTCCATGAAAGAGGCAGGGCAACCACACAATAAAAGCTTTGACAAGAAGCACTGTCACACATAGCGCGTACATTTTTCCTTCCAGTAAAGCGAGTTCTTAGAAGTCACATTTCGTAGACACTTACCTTGCCTTTTTGAGTAACAGGTTCAATAGTTAAGCTGTCTGGTCCAATGTCAACAATCACTCCCATCTGAAACCCATCTGTTGGATGTGGAGCCCACACAGGCTTCCCGTCTTCCATTTTGAGGAACTATTTCCTAGGGAGAGAAGAAAACCTGTAGGTAAGACTGTTGTGCATTTCTTCATTCAAGTTTAGCTTGAATATCTATTTCAAATATTGGGAGGGAAGATATGTCATGCTACAAAAGAACACAGACACTACCTCTTTACCAGGCAACAACTTTTCATCACAACAATCAAGTGTAACAGATGGCATATGTTTGTATAATTGCTCATTATTTATTACCAAGAATGGAAAGATATTGGGGTGCCCAAAACAAGCCAAACCGGATGACTTGCAAAGCCACACGATGGCATGAAGCGGTGACTGGCATAGCAGCATTATTTGGCAATGTGTGTTCAAAGGTGGTGCATTTACAAGATCTTTATAACCCTGCAAGGAACCCAAGGAAGCGAACATCAGCGGCTTCTCTATTTTATCCTCACAACCGGCTTGTGAGATAGGTTAGGCTGGAGTCCATGACTAGCCCAAAGTCACCCAGAGTGCTTCATGGCCACGTGGGGCCCGGAACCTGGTTCCCTCAAGTCCAAGGCTAACCGTCTACCTACTGTGCCACCCTGGCTCTCCATAAATCACCACCTGCTGACACACTTGCTAGGAGGCCATTCACTGATTGAAAGCACGAACTACAAGAGTCTCTCTTCCAGCCAAGCCAGTACCTGGCAGGATTTGACAGAGGAATGTAATACGTATTCATAAGATGGAACTATCATGCACTCATTTTAGTCTGCCAAGGCTCAAAACATGCAAAACAATGAGTTACAATGAAGTTAAGAATTATTAACAGACTCCACAGCATTTCTCGGGGCCTGAGTATGCACTATGGCTTGCCGGGTCCAAAAAGGGACTGAAGGCCCTTGTAATCTGTGGAACTTTCAGTCTTCTTGGTGGAAAATTCAACACAGGGCAGGAAATCAGTATAAGTAATCCATATTTTCTGGAAAATAATAATTGATTTTTCATACTACAAGGAATAATCTGTCTTCCATTTAACAGCATATTACTTCCAACATATTTTTATACTTCACTTCTTGCTTATTTCAGTTACAAGCAAAGACAACAGACTGGGAAGCAAAGACAACACTTTTTTTGGTTTTCAGGCAGAGACCCAGTATATGAAATGAAGTCCAACAGCTCAGTACTAGAGGGAGCCACCAAAAGCTGGTTGCCCAGGGATGGGTATCCCTGGATTCTCTGGAGGTGTAGATGGATGTAAATCTTGCAGTAACAGGCTCCACACAGGCACAGAGCATGTCTGTGTGTGCGATGCACAGAGAGCATGAAGAGGGGGCCCTGCTTCCCCACTCATCACACACTGGGGGACATTTTTAAGCAGTTTTGTTTTAGGACCTGTTCCATTAAATAAAAAGGAACGTTGGGTTTGGCACTAGAGATTTTTGATACAGTCTGAAAGCCTACAGGTAAAGTCTCATGTCTGAGGAGAAAGCAAGCTCAGGCAATGGATCTCTTCCCCTTGCATCTCCAGTTGGCCACAAAACCTCTTCAGAGAGCAAGAGAAGCTAAAAGGTATTGCAAAATGGCTCTTCCTAGGCTTCAGTCGGAGTGAGGACAGGGAACTGCCAATATGGGAACCCTTGCATGGGTGTTAGATGGTCCCTTGGCCTGACTTCGGCTCATTTCCCACTATGTGCTCTCCAGATGTACTAGACCACAACACCCAGCATTCTCTAGCCACTACGTCGGAATGGAGATGCTGGGAATTGTAGTTGAGCATCTGGAGAGCACCCTGTTGGGGAAGACTATATTAAGGATTGTAATCAGGGAGTTTCTCTTATTCCCTTAGCAAATTTATTGCTGTATCCATTCTTCCTTGCTGTTCCCTATATATTATGCACTTTTATTACAAAGTAAAATTTCATGCTTTAAAAGGCACAGTATGCCAAGAGAGAACTAGTAAATACCATCAGTACTTTCCATTGAATTGCTTTTCCAATGCCTTCATTGAGTTCAAAAGCCATTTCGACTGAGGTTTCGTGGGAACAGCTGCAATATGGGAAGCGGCCAAATACAATTCTAATCCATACACAGCTGCTCTGCATATGCATAACCTATGTGAGGAGCTTGCCACAAAGTAATGAATTTCCACATCTGGAAAACCTCACACATTTGGTTCCAAAAATGCACTGGTGAGAGTGCAAGCATGCCAACAACTGTACGTATTTCCAGAAAGGCATGACACATCTGCACAAACCACGGAATGTGGCTTTTGCACATAGCTTAGGAGGACCCATGCACTGAATGGCCAATTGCCATTTTTGCACTAGCCAACTGACACTGTGCGCACGTCCATGTGAAGGAGCACAATCAGTGATACAGTCTCAATTTAACATACATTAACTACACTGCACATGAAATTATTTTTGGATCTTGCACATCCTAGCAGACAGCTGATTCTTCTGGTGATTATATCCAGATGTACCCAATATGGCTTTTTCTCATTCACAAGACAAAAAGCTCAGTGGTATTGATTTTATAAAAACAAAAAAACAAAAAACAGCCACAACTGCACATAATGCTAATCCAGAATTTAGTGTGATGCTCTTGTGCAGAAAGATGCTCCCAACTCCCATACCATGTGCTTCAGAGGAGAAATGAGTAAAAGATTCATATGGCACCTGTGTTGTGGATCTTGAAGGGACTCTTGGCAGCCCTTCTGGTTCCATTATTCCTCTCCTGCTCAAACTCCAGTCTTACAATTACTGATGTCAAATCACATTACAAAGAGTGAGAGGGGTTGCTCACAGCTCCCATGCTGCAAAGTTAAGATTAAGTTGGTCCTGGAAACAAGATGCTTTGAACTAACCTTGAAGATGGGAGGGGAACAAGATGGCCAACACAGCCATGTCAAACTGGGCACGTCTGTGTAAGACCCTCAGCTGCATTCATGAAACCACTGGCTGATTATTGTAACTGAATCAGTAATATGGTGACTTAGTCTTGCTCGATTACAAGCAAGTGTAAAAATCAGCTCTCCCAACCTTCTGAAAAGGCTGCCATTCCAAGCATCAATCTTTCAGTCTGAGATGTGGCAGATGGCTCATGGGGTGGCTTCCTTGGTGGCACCATCCCAAGCTTTGGAACACTCTCCCCAAATAATCTTGCTTGCGTCTCATACTGTTTTTCTAGCGCCAGGCAAAACACCCTGATACTGTCTTTGAAGCAAAGACATAAGTCCAAAAAATACAATGAAGATCAACTGTGCTCCCAAATCTGAAGACCCCATTAGGTGAGCTGGTCAATTACATATACTAGTTTGAACTCTGGTAATTCAGCTTATCACATTTGATAACCTAGTCTAATTGATGTAATGGAGCATGTTCCTTATGGAAAATGAAGCCAGACTCCACAATGTCCTTTTAATTACAAGCAGTAATTTATCAAGTTCTTTTTTGCTCCTTAAATCGTTGAGCTGGTGCAGAGGTGAAATAAGCATTCTGATGTTTATCACTTATCAGAGTCAGGCATGGGAAGCAGAAGAGAGTGTCTGAGTTTTAAAACAGCAATTATTTTGTATATTAATTATTTACACCTTCTTGGTAAGAAGAATGGAGGGAAGGCCACAGTTAATGAAATAAGAACTAATGAACTACACTTGATATTAGGTATTGCTTTTCCAACCATCAATCACAAAACCATTCAACAGGAATGCAAGTGAAATCATCTGTTTCAAGGCCACTAATCTAACATAAGGCAAGAATCCAATCTCCTGCATAGGTAAAAAGAAAAAGTATTCTGGATCGGAAGTCCAGTCTATACATTTATTCATACATGCATAGGGGATTGCAACGGGAGTTCTGAACAAGCATACAGGGAGAACTGAGGAAGGACAGGTACTGAAAGCATGACCTTGATCTGCACATGACCAGGGAACTAAAGTGGCTGGCCACATACCTTGGGCAGGTTAGAAGAACATGCCACAGGTGGGCACAGGAAACTAGAATGCAGGGTCATCCCATGAAGCTGATTGGTGGCAGATTCGGGCAAGATAAAGTACTTCTTCACGCAGCATAAAATTGAACTGCAGAACTCAATTTCACAAGATGCAGCTAGAGCCACTACTTTGGTTTCACAGAGGAGAAGGCTATCAGTGGCTCCAAGAACGGGTGAATACATGGCACCCCCAGAATCAAAGGTGGAATGTCTATGCATACCAGTTTCTGGGGCACATGGACGGGAAAGCATGTGTTGCATTCATGTCCTGTTTACATGAACAGAATGCTGGACTAGGTGGACCCTTGGTCTGATCCGGCAGGCTGGTTCTTATATTTTTATGATAGCTTGCTATGCAGCTGACTACACTGTGCCAGAACTGGTCCCCTTTTCTACAGGTCATCTAAGGTGCCATTGTATGGATCCATTTTATACCTAGATGCAAGTATATGAATAATTCGTAAGGAAATCACACAAGTCCTCCCCATGAGTGGACTGTCCCTGAAGCTTCTCCTGAGGGATTCTTCAATTTCCATTGCAGTGGGAAAAAAAAAACATTCTTTAAACGGGCATGTTCTAGGGGCCTGTATTTCTCCACCTTTCTAAAAATCCTATTAACCAACCACAAGGTGGTGCTGTAATAGAGCTGAAGCACAGTGGATTCTTGTCCTATCATATTGCCTTTGTTCCAAGTTTGTCACAATTTAGAATAGAATACCAGATTCTCCTTGCTCTAAAAATAACAATTAAAGGCTAAAACATGGGAAAAGCTCTGGAAGCCAACAACGTCACCAAGGGATAGTGAGTACAAAAGTCCTGAGAAAATCATATGGGGGTTTTTCTCCAGGGCTTAAAAGCAAAACATCCTTGTAAACGTCACCAAACTATCATTTGTTTCATACTAAAAGAATAAACTTAGAATTCAAAGGTCATTCTAGGCACTGAACAGGTACAATTCAGATACGTCAAGGAAAGGCTGATATGCTTTATTACTCTTCTTCCTTGTATACAACACAAATCAAAGCTTGTGCTTTTGATTGACCACAGTTTCCCACTAAGTACCAT